AAAAAAGCACTTAAAAATTGGTTAAGTTTTTCATATTTCGACTTCGTTTTTTTCACACTCCTCACACTGCTTTTCCTTATTCTACATTGTAGCAGAGCACCTCTCTCATGAAGATATCACAGTGCAGTAGTGTACAGAAAAAGCAAACCTTATCAACTCCAGCACTTAAAATTTTATCGCCTCTTTGATTCCATTTCAAGGCAAAAATGGGACCTTTGTGTGCTCCCAGCGTATACCGTAACCTTCCTAAAAATACACACAACATCGTTTATTTTACAACAGAAATTTAAACAAAAAGAAAAATAACCGAATAACTTCTTCAAAAATCAATCGTTCTGATGATGGTAACTGTCAAAATTTACGATGAATGAAATAAAAACCTTAAAATCTTTCCCTCAACGAACTTTAACAATGTGTCAAGGCTGAGGTAAGAAAAGTAGTTTTTATGCGTTTTTTGCAGCAATGCAATGCGAAAAACGCATATTGACGAGAGGTTGTCTGTGTGATTTTTATGCGTTTTTTGCAGCAATGCAATGCGAAAAACGCATATTGACGAGAGGTTGTCTGTGTGTATGTGTCTGTGTGTGTTTGTGTGTGTGTGTCTGTGTGTGTGTTTGTGTGTGTGTGTGTCTGTGTGTGCGCTGGGCCTCTGTACCGATTTTTCATCTCGAGACCGGCAAAAAAGCTACAGGGCTGAAAAACTTTGGGGACATAATCTACATACACGTACGGGCTCCATTCACAAAATCGGCGCCAAAACCCGCGTGGTACCCGCGTACGGGCCCGCCAAGGTTTTTTTGGGGTCGGTTCATAACTCGAGGACCTGAGAAGCAAGAAGGCTGAAATCTTGGGCTAATGTTCCTCGCCCAAGCGGGTATTAGTGGGTTCAAACCCAGACCCCGGATAAGCATGGTACCCCCGTATGAGCCCGCCAAAATTTTTTTCGGGTAAGTTCATAATTCGGGGACCTGAGAAGCTAGAGAGCTGAAAATTTAGGATAATGTTCCCCGCCCAAGCGGCTATTAGTGGGCTCAAATCTAGCCCCCGGTTAAACGTGGTACCCGCGTACGGACCCCCCCAAATTTTTCGTGCCCAAATTCATAACTCGGGGATCTAAGAAGCTAGAAGGCTAAAATCTTGGGGTAATGTTCCCCGCCCAAGCGGCTATTAGTGGGCCCAAAACCAGACCCCGGGTAAGCATGGTACCCCCGTACGAGCCCGCCAAAATTTTTTTCGGGTAAGT